GTGTGTGTGTGTGTGTGTGTGTGTGTGTGTGTGTGTGTGTGTGTGTGTGTGTGTGTGTGTGTGTGTGTGTGTGTGTGTGTGCTGACCGCTCTGAAGCTGAGCCAGCTGCTCTGCCTGAAGCTGAAGGATCCTCCGAGCTCTGCAGGAAGCTGCTGCAGCTCCACGTGTTTCTGAACAGACTTCAGAGAGTTCAACACCTCCACCTGCACCACAAACACAGTCTGTGTCAGCGTGTGTGTCACAGTCAGATGGTTACAAAGTCACAGCTACATGTCCAAATAACTCAAAGGTCAGTGTAGAGGGTAGATCTGATCTCTGACCAGGTGTCATCAGTTACCTGTGAGGCTGCAGGTTTATCCAGACGTAGAGACGAGTCCTTGTTGACCAGCAGTAACACAGTGTGGACGGAGCCTGGCGTGTTCTCCTACACACACACACACACACACACACACACACACACACACACACACACACACACACAGCAGTGAGTGGAGCTGTCGCCCTCTGCTGGTCAGTGACAGACCTCCACCTTCTGCTTCAGGAGTGATGATGGCTTTGTCAAAGTGATGATGGAGGAGTATATGAACACACTGTGGGTGTAGTTCCTGATGGTTCAGAGTCTGGAGAACTGACTGGTCAGAGGTAAACTCATCAGTCTGTACATCACTTCATTCACAGTGTGATTCACCAAAATCCCTGTATCCCCAATTAATTCAAAAGAATTGTTGGTCATTTCAAATTCATTTGATCTTGATTTTTTGAAAAAGTGGAAGCCCTCATCTCCATAAACACACATCTGTATGATATTAAACGATTGTATATAAATAAATGTATAAAACTGAGTTATATTATTGAATTATATTGTATTTTTAAAATCTTAATCTGTATTGATATTCGACACGTTTAATAATTATTGTGTTGTATGTATATTTTAATATTTTCTAAACTGCTTTCGCAATAACATATTTTTGTTCATGCCAATAAAACCAATTAAATTTGAATTTGAGAGAGAGAGAGAGAGAGAAAGAGAGGGAGAAAGAGAGAGAGAGAGCAGGAGAATAAAACTTTATCAGCTGATCAGTGACTTCCTGTCTCAGACTCACCTGCAGGGACCTGAGGGCGGAGAAGAGGGCGGGGACAGGAGCAACTCTGCGGGCATCTACCAGCACCGTCAGCCCCAACGCTCGCATCTCCTTCCTGCTCCACACAGGAAGTGACGTTAGAGGGAGAACACCTGAGACACAGCTGTGATGCAGGTGGTGGGGGTGGGGGGGGGTCGTACCTGAGGGTTGAGGTGTAGTAGAGCAGGAGGCGGAGCAGCTCGGCCTGCTCACAGCCGGGGTTCGACCACACGGAGCTCCAGGTACAGACCGTCAGCAGAGCTCGTCCACTCTTGTCTCTGGTACCTGCAGGAGACACAGAGGAGACGCTGTGTTCACTGACACTCAGGAAATCACAGCGGTGACACTGTGAAGACATACACAGCTACACAACACTGACACATTCACCTGATTCTTCATGTGATGCTGAAAGTGTTAAAACACCTGTTCAACTATGTGAAATGATGAGGTCACACCCACCAACACGACAGGAGCACAGGTGACAGTCATGACACTCAAACCCGGAACTACAGACTGTAGAGAACACAACTGCACCAACAGGTGAACGTTCCTCGGGTGAGACTGAAGACTACATCCTTGTTATCCCTCATCATATTAATGTTTATATTATATTTATATTATATAATTATACCTCCTCTACTGAGCTATATTACAAAACTATTTTTATTTTAATATATTTCTGTTATTTTTCATCCAACATTTATTGCTGATCTTCCTATTAAATTGATATATGGACTGATGGGACAGATGTTTTCACCCATCACTATTATTATGTTTGTATACTTGTATTCTATTTTTATTTGTGATTTGTTTGATATAAAAATGAAATGAGCTGAACTTCAGATATGATTTTGTTTTATGGGTTTGAAGGAGACAGAGCTCAGGCTGTTTCACCACTACAGCTTCTTGTGTTGTTTTATGAGTGTGGGATGATCACACGTCTGAGCATGACACAAATACACAACTACAAATATCACTGGGGTTGACGCTCATGAATATCTAAATAACTTCAGAATTGTAAATGCTAAATTCATCATCCACAAATAAACATTCACCAAATCAACTCCTAAAATTCCCCTTTTTCTCCTGGAAGTGAATTTTCTAAAGAAAAGAGGCTTCAGCTGCTGCTCTCTGTCCAGGAGAGTGTGTGTCAGGTGTGTGTGTTTGTCTCCCAGGTGGATACAGGAGCACGTCCATGGGAGAGGTCTCCAGGTAACTTTGGTGTGTTGACAGCTCAGACTCTCTGAACTGGTCCCAGTTTGACCCAGGACTGACCTGTCTGGGTCTGAACCTGGTCCAGATGGAGCCTACACGAGGTGTGTGTTTCTCTCACCAGGTAGACAGACAGCTCCAGAGCTCAGCAGCACACTGTAGAAGCTGGACCGGGAGGACCGGGAGGACTGTACTGGGGCTGTGGGAACAGCTGGATGATCCAGCTGTGGAGGGGGTGCTGGTTGTTCTGGTTCTTTTGGACTGGGACCAGTAGATGGACTGACCTCTGACTGGGGAGGAGGTGGATCATCATCACTGAGACCTGTGGAGGGATTCTATATGTTTATATACGTTTTTTTATTCATTGATAACTCTGACTGACTCTGAATACAGGCTTTATATAGTATATACACTGACAGGCTTTATATAGTATATACACTGACAGGCTTTATATAGTATATACACTGGCAGGCTTTATATAGTATATACACTGGCAGGCTTTAGGATGGAAATATATTTATGTGACACATGTCTATAATATAATCATACATACATGAACATGCAGATTTGTATAGACTGGACATATATGTCATTAAATCATTCCAACTTCTAATAGATTTCATATACAATTTTTACATGTGTGCTTTAATTTTATATGAACATGTATGTCATATACAAATTCAATATATTTACATATATCAAATGTGTGTATGAACAGGACCAGGACCTCATGAGGACTACAATAAGGTCTGTGTTTACACCAGAACACACACACACACACACACACACACACACACACACACACACACACAGCACCAGAGGGGAGAGACATTCAGTCATGTGATCAATCACAGTGAATAGAGTCACTGTTGTGCTGCTGTTGATGATGTCACTACTGATCATCTACAGTCACACAGGTGAGTCACAACAGGTGAAGGGTCAGTGTGTGTGTTACTGAGGAGAAGGAGGGAGGACAGAAGGGAGGAGGAGAACTAGTTCAGCCAATCAGAGGAGGAACAAGAGGGACAGGAGGAGGAGGAGGTGATGGATAAAGATAGAAAGAGTCTGATGGTTTGTGGAATGAAAGGAGAAACAGGTTCTGTACCTTCAGTCTGAAGCTCTGCAGTTCCTCCTCCACCAACCTCCTCACAGCTGCACTCCTCCTCCAGCTCCTCCTGCTCCTCTGACCTCCTCTGTCCACCTTCAGACTCTTCAGGTTCAGTCCGAAGTGAGTCTGCATCCATCGCTGGTGAGGAGGAGCTCGATGCGTCAACCTCCTCAGACTCCTCACAGTGTGTCAGTTGTTTAAAGTTTTCACAATAAGAGTCCTCAGAGTGTTTCGGTGGTTTAATGTTTTCACAATAAGAGTCCTCAGAGTGAGTCTGTGGTTTAAAGTTTTCACAATAAGAGTCCTCAGAGTTCGTGTGTAGTGCGTTGGACTCCTCAAAGTATGTGTGTTGTATAACATTTTCAGAATAAGAGTCTTTGGAGTGTGTTTGTACTGTGCTGTTTTCAGAATAAGAGTCCTTTGGGTGTGAGAGTTGTGTATTATTTTCAGAATAAGAGTCCCCAGTGTGTGTTTGCAGTGTGTTGTTTTCAGAATAAGAGTCCTTGGAGTGTGAGAGTTGTGTATCATTTTCAGAATAAGAGTGCTCAGATTGTGTTTGTAGGGCGGTGTTTTCAGAATAAGAGTCCTCACTGTGTGTTTGCAGTGTGTTCTTTTCAGAATAAGAGTGCTCAGAGTGTGTTTGTAGTCCGTTGGTTTCAGAATAAGAGTCCTCAGAGTGTGTTTGTAGTCCGTTGTTTTCAGAATAAGAGTCCTCAGAGTGTGTTTGTAGTCTGTTGTTTTCAGAATAAGAGTCCTCAGAGTGTGTTTGTAGTCTGTTGTTTTCAGAATAAGAGTCCTCAGAGTGTGTGTTCATGCATGAGTCAGTTTCTTTATCTATGTGCTTTTCTCCACCTTCTCTCTCTTCTTGATCTTTCTCTGTTCCTTCTTCTCCCTCATCTTCTTTCATCACCTGCTCTTCTTCCCTTCTTTCTTGACTCTGCTGGACAATTACAACCTGAACCTCCTCCTCTACCTCCACCTCCTCTAACTCATCGTCTCCTTCCTCATCCAACTCTTCCTCTCCATTTCCGTCTGTCTCTTCACTTTCATCCTCCTCCTCCCTTTCTCCTCCCTCCTTAGCAGTGTATGTGTGTGGCGGTAAATCTTCTTCCCTCCTACACTCCAACTGTCCCACCTCCTCCTGCACCTCCTCCTCTTCCTTCTCTACACCCTCTTCAACTGACACCATTTCATTCTTCCTTTCATGCCTCTCCAACAGCTCTCTCTCTTGCCTCTTTTCCTCTGTCTCCCCCTCTTCCTCCTTCTCCTCCTCCTCCTCCTCCACTCTCTGTTCTCTGTTGTCCTCAGGTTCAGTGTTCAGCTTCACATGTCCGTCTGAATCAGTACCTTCTGTTTGCTCCTGTGACACCTGGTGCTCCGACTGACTGATGGAGGTTCCCACAACTTCAGCAGGAGCAGAGGAGGAGCAGGAGGAGGAGGTGGGGGTGTTGGGGGAGATGGGGGTAAGGATGACAGGACCACAGGAGCCCTGGTGGAGGTTTTCCCCGATGAGCTTGGAGCAAAACTCGGTGAGGGAGCTGATGTCAACATGAGGCCAGGAGGAGTGTGTGTTGATGTTGTGAGGTGTGTGTCCTGCAGCAGTGTGTGTGTTGATGTCGTGAGGTGTCTGTGCTGCAGCAGTGTGTGTGTTGATGTTGTGAGGTGTCTGTGCTGCAGCAGTGTGTGTGTTGATGTTGTGAGGTGTGTGTCCTGCAGCAGTGTGTGTGTTGATGTTGTGAGGTGTGTGTCCTGCAGCAGTGTGTGTGTTGATGTTGTGAGGTGTGTGTGCTGCAGCAGTGTGTGTGTTGATGTTGTGAGGTGTGTGTGCTGCAGCAGTGTGTGTGTTGATGTTGTGAGGTGTGTGTGCTGCAGCAGTGTGTGTGTTGATGTTGTGAGGTGTGTGTGCTGCAGCAGTGTGTGTGTTGATGTTGTGAGGTGTGTGTCCTGCAGCAGTGTGTGTGGAGGACCGTGTGCTGGTCCTGGCTCGGTGCTGCAGGCTGATGGACTGGGTTAAGGAACCTTTCTGGGGGGAGAACCGAGGCAGTGGGAGCTCCGTCAGCTCCACATACTCCCCCTCTGAGTCGTCAGCCTCGCTACTCGCTGCTGATTGGTCAGTTTTTGGAGCAGATGGTCGGAGCTCCTCGTGTCTGGAGTTAATATCTCTACACAGATCACGTGACGTGTCGTCCTTCAGGGCGGTCAGGGGCCGGCTGATGAATTGTGGGTAGACCAGGTCCTCCCAGGGGACCCTGAAGATGTCTCCGTTGGCAGAGAGGACGCAGCGCTCCAGCCTGGACGCTCCTCGCTGCTCCCTCTCCCTGTTGACGGAGTCCAGCCAGGCCATGCTGAAGAGGGACAGTAGGGCTAACTCTGACACCTCCTGCTGCTCCACATAACGGCTGCCGGCCGACACGCTGCACAGGAGCAGGCGGGGAGAGGAGGAGGCGATGCAGCTCCTACAGGAGGTGCCGTGAGGTCGAAGAGGAGGAGCAGCAGGAGAAACCAGCAGGTAGAAGTCTCCTGGACGGAGGAGACGCTGGTCCAGAGGGCAGAGCTGAACGACTACTTTCTCCTGGACACACAGAGGCCAGCCTACACCACACTGCACCTGAGGAGGAGGAGAGAGAGGAGAGAGGAGATCATTACTCAGTCCAGGTGTGTGATGAACTACCTGTGGACTGATGTTAAACTGTTGTAACTGGTGGATCAAGGTGTCAGTGAATCAGTCAGACTGAGTCCCTCTGGACTTCAGGTGTGCTGCTGCAGACTGAGAGAACTGAGGCAGAGTCAGTCAGGACCTACAGCTGTCTCCAGATCAGCTGCTCCTCAAACATTTACAGTCAATAATCACATCAGGATAGCCCCCCCCCCTGAACACTACAGCCTCTGACTGACTGATGTGTGTGGACAAGGTGACGCCCACTAGAGGCAGGTGAGTGACGATCCCAGAGTCAACCTCAACAAACACGACATGTCAGTTAATCACGTGTGGTTGAACAGGCAAGAACAGACAGAGACAGAGACTACAGACAGACTGGTCTCTACTCACACTGGCATGTTGCTGGAGTCGATGTAAGAGCTGCTTCGCAGGAAGCAGGAAGTGCAGCAGGTAGCGGAGGCCGTCGCCTCTGTAGCGAGTCTCCACCACGTTGAGGACCTGAAAGAGGACAGTCGGTGATGTGGCCTGGAAAGGGGGGTAGAGGGCTGACAGGGCTGTCTGGATGCACCGGTCCAAAGATTCAGAGTCCTGAAGGAAGAAGACAGAGACCGGGGTCAGACTCAAACAGCTGGGAGCTTCACCCACTGTGACTTCAGGCTAGCTACAGACGGGGGGGGGGGGGGGGTCTGTGGAGACAAGATGGCCGCCCTCACAGACACAGCAGGACAGACAGCAGCTCCGCAGATGGACACTGTTTCAGGTCATGTGATCGGGTTCTGGTCCTCCATCGTCCTCTAACACCTTGAGAACAAACGTGTCTGATCTCTGGTCTGATCATCAGACCAGTGTTCCCAGTATGACTGACCACAGCTCCCAGCAGAGCTCTGCTTTAATTACCCTCCTCATTAACGTCCCTTTACGGAGCTTATTGTCTGACTCAACACACCTCTTATCAGCACGTGTTTGTTCTTCGCTCCGTTAAAAACAAGTTCAACATTTCAGGCTCTCCGCCAAGGGCGCGCCCGGCAGGCCCTGGAGGTGTGGCTGGGAGGCCCCGTCTGTGGCGGTGAGAACAGGAATGAGGCTGTAACTGGATCCACTGGTCTGGAGGCAGTGGAGACTGGTCAGGTAAAAATATCAGGCTGCGCACACACACACACACACACACACACACACACACACACACACACACACACAGGCTCCAGACTGAGTGTGTTTCACATGTGTGTGATGACATACATTTAAATGCAGAGCCATGTATTTGTGCCCCCCACCGCCCGGCTCCACTCCTCCTCTAGCCTGTATCTGAGACCAGACTGACTCACACAGCAACAAATAATTATATACAACTTCAGAATTAAGTGATTGGTTGACTTTGGTCAGACTATAAAACAAAACAATCACCCAAACATATTAAAACTACGGTGGCCCTGAAGCTCGAAGCTCTGCAACTCGAGAAAACATCTTCCTCAGTTTGACACACAAGCTGCAAATACTCACAACACAACAGAAGTGTTTCCAGGGGACACTAAAAAGTGATGGACCAGCTCATGTACACTTGTTGTTCAATGCTTCCTGACTAGTGAAGTTATGAAGACGACTAGTCGGCTACATGTTAGTTAGTATGCTTAGCCTTGTTTATGTCTCCTGTTATCACACGGCCCCACCCCCCCCCCACGCCCCAGCAACTCTACAGTCTGTGTGGAGGTGAATATTCTGGATGTGACTCAGGCCAGATTCACACACAACAACTGGCAGCCAAATGTAGTGCTGAGGCCAATATTAGCAGCAGGCTATCAGATGACGGGCGGGGGGGCACAGAGAGGGAGCTGAATACTGCATCATGATCACAGAGGAGTGACACAGATCATAGAGACTCCACCTCATATTTAAACATCAGTGGAATCGAGCTTCAGTCATTTAGAGGTGAATCACTCACAGCAGGTTTAGTAAGTAACAAATCATAAAATATCTCAGCACCGAAACAAGGTGACTGAAGAGCCAATACACGACATGTGGTACAACTACATGTTACAATTTGTAATTTATCATTTATTTTTGACAGATATTGTGTTTCAGTGTCAATGATCGTTTCTATATTTTCACTGAAACAAAAACATAAAAAGATATTTTACATCTGGAGAATATGATTTGTAGCGCCACAACACTGATGGGGCTAACAATGCTAATGCTAACAATGTGACACATTTTACCTTCTTCAAAGAAACTGCAGCTCCAGTGCGATCATCTGAATTTAGTCACTCAAAAGTAATAAATCACAAAATATCTCAACACTAAACGTCCACAAGGTTCAGGGTTGTCACCCTCATCAACAACAAGAGGCTCCAACGACACAAACACAAACAGACTCACAACATGAATCAACCAATGAGCTGAGGCCGACTGAACAAGGAACAGACTGATGAATCAACTACCTACTCCATCTCATTCACTTCATTTGACTTTGATAATCATCAGGTCAGTCACATGAAGGATGAAGAAAACACAACACACAGAAGAAAACCAGAAGACCCGAGGTCCAGAGATCTGGATCAGACCCTCTGACCCGGGTCATCACCACACTGTGGTTTAATGTTTGTTGTAACTAAAGGAAAGAGTTTATTTAACTCTCTGATTCTCTCGATGACACAAGCTTCATGAAAATCAGGAAATATCTTCTGGTGACCATCGTTCACGCCTCACACACACACACTGTTAACTGCAGGAACACAGTTTATAGATGAGAGGATTACAGTATTAAGCATGCGGCTCAGTCTGGCTCTGAGAGGGTGAGGAGGGGGGAGAGAGGGAGGGAGGGGGAGGAGGCACATCAAAGCCAGCTGAGTGAGGTTCCCATGGGAGACGGAGAGGCCACCCACTCTGAATAATAACTTCATTATCCTGCTCACAACAGACTCCACTGATAAAACGTGTTTATATTTAGTTTCATTTAGTTTTAGTTTTTTCCAGAGGGGCGGAGCTTCAAACCTGACATCACTCACAATACAAACAGCCAATTATGTGGAGGTCAGAGGTCAGAGGTCAGACCAGTGGGTTTAAAGTTCCCTTCTCCAGTGAGCTCTCAGAAACAGCTGGAGTTCAGATTAGTTAAAAAAAGAAAAGCTGATTAAAACTAGTTAAAACTAGTTAACCTGAAACTCAACCTGGTTTAGATTAGTTAGTGTTCAACCCAAAGCTCTTTGGATAAATCAGTGACAGAACTAACTTTAATGAAGCTGACACAGACTGAGAGGTGTCAGAGCGAAGTGAAGCAGGACAGGAGGGACCAGACCAACCTGATCCACATGATGAAGACAGACAGTTACACCACAGGTCCTCACTGTCTCTAATGGACACATCACAACGTCTCTGTCTCCAGGTGAGTAACATCGTCCTCCATGTGTCTGCTTCGCTCTCTCCATGTTCACTGACAGAGACGTCCTCATTAACAAGTCTGTAGAGAGAAGAACTACAAGTCCCATGGCGCACTTCACCAACAAGCATCCAATCACAGAGCTTCACGTCCCGTGTAGGTAAAACACTCAGCACAAGTCTGACTCTGGATAAGTTACTGGCACCGTTTGGCTGCATCTCCATAGCAACATCAGCTGAGGCTCATGGGTACTGTAGTCTTTAGAGTTATCAACTAAACTGACAAAAAACAAAAGTAAGACATGTTTGAGTTCAATAACACCAAGTCTCAGTCCTCAGACCTGATCCAGACCTGATCCAGTCCTGATCCAGACCTGATCCAGACCTGATCCTGACCTGATCCAGACCTGATCCAGTCCTGATCCAGACCTGCTGTGTGGACTGTGACAGGGCTGGTGTTTAATCATCAGATGGAGCCTTTCAGATCTAATCCAATCTCTGGGTTGATCTGGTTTCAAGAGGCGTGTCTGTCCCTGGAGGACCATGATTCACTCACGACGGTTCAGCTGATGGAAGAACCAGTTCCTGTGGGTGTGGAGGATCAGGGTCACTGTCAGGTCCCACAAAAACCGGATCCTGAACAGTCCTGTGTGTGTCCACATGTAAACACAGTGGCCTGACGCTGACCTCAGGTCTCTACGGTCGGAGGAGGAAGAGCTCGTCAGCCATTTTGAAGCCGCTCTCATGTATAAACAACCAGACCATAAAGACTGGTCACCACTCTCCAAAAAGCAGAGGTCATGACCTTTTTAGTAACCAATCATGGTGTCACTGCGTGGGGAGGGAGGGGGTTTAAAGGGAGGGACCCACAGGAGACATGACCTTTGACACCACCCCCCCCACTTACAAATGAGCACAGTGACAGAAGAGACCAGCTGCCCTCCAGAGAGAAACCACTGGACTGGAGGATCCAGAACCAGGACTCTCTGAACCCTGAAACTCCTCTGGAGGGTCCAGACTCTGTATCCAGAGGTTGAAAAGCTTTACATGGATCATCTCTCCACATCTGTATCTGTTTCAGTATGATGATGAAAACCAGCGCGGAGCTGAAATCATTCATCTGAAGGCCCGTGATAAAAACAGTCCTGGATCCACATCTTTAACAGGATCGGCACCAGAATCTGACGAGTTCTACTCTGGTCCAGGACCCGGCCCTCCACCAGTTTGTGTGATTATGTTGACAAACAACATCTGATCTTGCATCTCAGCTGAATGACGTGGAGTGAGTCAGAGCAGGAGACAGTAAAATGCACTTATAAATCATAAATGAAATTATAATATAATATAATATTAAATACTGTTCACTGTTGTAACTAAACTTAATGAATCTGATATGAGACACATGAAGTGATGAGAGGACTCGGCTCTGTCCATCAGTTCGACTGAACCTGACGATGTATGAAACATCTGAAGTTGTGATTCAGTTCTACTCTACGGTTCAACACTTCCTGTTCCAGACTGAACAACACCAAGAGGATGTGATGAACATCCGGCGCCAGGATCAAACTGGGGACGTCATGGCTGCATGTAGAGATGAAAGTATTAGTCGCTGATCCATCAGTTGATCGACAGAAAAACTATTTCTCTAATTTCTGAAGCACAAATAGTAAAAAACATCACGTCAGGTGACCAAAAGTCAAGGTCAGAACTACAAATTAATGTCAACGTCACTTTGATGCAGAACAACTGACAACAGCTGGAAAAAAACAGAGTTTAAACTCAACGTCTAAACGTCACAGTGTCAATGAGCCAACGCCAAGTCTGACGTCAATGTCAGAGTCGTTAAGAGTCCAACGGCTTCCTGTCGTTACACTGATGTCTGATTATCAGAGGAACTTCACAGGTTTAAGAACAGACGACCTTTGTTTTCTTAATTATTCTAAAACTCTAACGAGCTCCAGGTAACATCAACCCTGTGTGAAAACCACTTCTGCTGGTGTCACGTTACATCTGAACACAAACTGTAATCCAAACTTACATTTAAATTTCCCCTGATGGTGCATTCACACACACACACACACAGAGCCCTGACGATGCGTTTACTGTCTCTCAGGTTTGTGTTGCTGGTTCCTGCTGCAGCTTGTTCAGACACAGACTGAGGTTCTGCCACAGGGATCAAAGTCTCATCTGTGAGATCTGATCTCTGTCTGAACGACGAGGAACGAAGCTCAGAGTCGCAGCAGGAAACAGATCAGAGTGAAGAGCTGCAGGGAAAACACATCAGCTGAGACGGAGAGAGAAACAGGAATGTTACAGATACCAACGCTGCCAGAACACACACACACACACACACACACACACACACACACACACAAACACACACACACACACACACAGTTCCTCAGAGAGGAAATCAACCCTTCAGGCCTCGGGCTGAGAGTCTGTTCAGATTTTAACTGTGTCTCCAGGTTCAGGTACATCCACAGGTAAACTGATGAGTCACAGAGTCGGGGGGGGGGGGTGGGGTGGGGGGGGTTCTGCTCAGGTGGAGAACGGGTTCATGTGCTGCTATACCAAACTCACAAGGACTCCAGCTGTTAGCGGGCTAAGCTAGCTGTTTAACAGTCTTTTAGCAGAGACTGAACTTTAATTAAATATTTAAATATATAAAGAGAAGTGAAGTGGATCATGTGACAGATCACTCACACACTGACACACACACACACACTGACACTCACTCACTCACTCGCTCACTCACTCTCACACACACACACAGAGTGTGGTTACAGGTTTAACAAGGATCAGTTTTAGTCCGGTCTGACCAGGATCACAACCTGCACTGAGATCACACCTTCATGTGACTGAGCAGCAGCTGAGTCTGAGGGGGGTGGTGGAGGTGTGTGTGTGTGTGTGTGTGTGTGTGTGTGTGTGTGTGGGGGGCACTAAGATAAAGACGTCCAGATCCAGTCGGCTGTTTGAAGTGAGACTGATAGCGGCGACCTTGACACACAGAGTTTCTCAAACAGCTGATTAGATTGGAGCAGAGACTCTGAGTCTGATGCTGAGCCCAGCTGTGACCAGCAGACACACAAAGACCTGATTCAAGGCTCCTCCACTGAGGAGGTGAGGCGTCCGTCCCTCTGGGACCCGGTTTAAGGACTGAGCTGGTCTCTGGAGGAGCTCTACAGGAGACATGTAAAACCAGAAATCATCACCTCAAAGAACTGAGCTCAGCCTCCCGCCTCGTCTCTGAGGTTCAACATGGAGCTCCTCCTCCATCGTTTCCCTCCACTAACCCTTCCTATCATTTAATAAAATAACTCTGTACTGTCACACCTTCCTGGGTTGGTTGAGACGCCTCCTGCTCTGTGTCTTTACAATTTCATTCTCCTCCATCTTCACTGTCACTCTCTTCTTCTGTGGTGGTTGGTAAACCAGCTGAGAGCAGCATTACCACCACCACAGCAGAGACACTGAGACAGGTGGACACGTCTCTTTGAGTCACATGACTCGACTCTAGAAAACAGGGGATCTCATTCATAAACAAAAGAGAGCATTGTGGGTAAGAACAGCGACGAGCAGAAGTGTCAAAGCAGCAGAAAGATACGAATCACAACTTCCAGTCAAGACTTTCACAATAAAACATGATGTTCAGCCCAGACCTTTACACCACAGTTCACTTACTGTGGTGAGTCGACTGAAACCAGCTGAAATTAATGGTTAAATTTAAACACACTGATGACACCAGGTGCTGGTCCTACCATCAGGACCCAGCAGCAGGAAGAGCTGGGGATCAAACCACCAACCCTGTGATTAGTGGATCATCCATCTAACCTGTTATGAACACAGGTGAGTCCTGACATCATGAGGTGGACAGCTCAAGACTCTGCAGGGTGATTTAAACCATGTCAGGCCTTTTGTTCTATATTCATCATCAGGTCTCCAGGTTTTAATCCAGTGTCCAATCAGCACAATCATCTGAAACCAGTGGGGGAGTCAACACATACACAACTCTGTTTCTATGGTTACCCAACAACACTTGGTGGAGTTGTTGTACCAAGTCCAGACAGATATACGCAGGATGAAACTCAACATGAGTCGATTCACAGTGACCTTGACCTTTGACCTTTGACCACCAAAATCTAATCAGTTCATCTTTGAAAAAGAAAAAGAAGAAGAAGTGGTTGGAGATGAAAACATGAATCGGTGGCTCCTCGTTGCTGCAGGTTTCAGCTCTGACTGAAGTAGGTCAGAGAATCTCATGTCGGGGAATCTGCTCATAACCGGTGTTAGGTTCAGGTGTTGGGGTGTGGCGTTTCTGTAAAGGGGGGTTTTCCATGACAGAGTGGGGGGGTTGAGGTTCAGGTTTCGGGCTGGAGCAGGTGGATGACAGCACGTTACAGACAGATCCTCTGGATCTGCAGGAACACTGCCTCATTGTGCTGCCTCCTCCAGAGTCTGAGACCAGAACTTTGTAGTCCACCGTCACAGGACCGTCCTGTCCCAACAACACAGCACTCAACATCTGGGACAAAGGACACTTCCTGTCAGTGACAAGTCCTGAGACACGTCTGTTATCAGAGGAATAAAAGCCTTTCCGGGTGAGTTGTAGCCTGAAGGTTCAAAGACTGAGCTTTCCCTGACATGTGACCAGCGAGACAGCAGACCCATCAGGACAGGAAGTGATGCCCAGTGGGTCAGTGTGTTAATGTGAGACAGACCTGAGGCAGAGCAGACCTGCAGCTACCAGACCCACAGATCTTCCTCCTTCACATCAGGTCTAATCTCAGGTGTCATCCTGCTGATCTGTTTCCTGTCTGGTTCACTGAAGGTGGAACACTGAAGACACATCACTTTTCATCAGGAGTTAAAACCTCCAGGTAGAAAAGATTCTTCTGTTCATGATCATCTGTCTCAGACATTTCTCAGTGTGCAGTGGGAGATGAGTCTGTGGTTCAACAGTTTCCTGATGTGGATTTGGCTGCAGACCCCCCACCCCACACACACACCTTCCTCCATCCTCCAGTTTTGAGGCTGTGTTTTGAAAACTGTCATACATTTTTTGGAAGGTCAATATAACCAGATCTCCTGACTCAAATATCTGGGATGTCAGATGAGAATAGCAACATAACCAGATCAGAATATATGGTTACAACCAGCACCGAGGTTAACTTTAACTTTATTTGAGGCCTGAGGACTTATTTATGACTGCCATGATGAGGGAGAGCGACATAAACACAGGTCAGGTTGTTTCTCCTCTGAGCTCTCATCACTGGGCTGAAGTTTGAAAATGGAGGCGTCTCATGTTTCACAGTTTAACAACATTTAAATCAAAATGTGACATTTTGTTGTTGAGTTTTTGACTAAATCTCTTTACAGTAAGTTCAGTGGTTCCAAACCTTTTCCAGGTCATATCCCACGAGACAATCTCAAAACGGTTTGCGGCCCACATCCGACCACGTAACAATACAAAGGCCACATATCGTCTCAGAGCACTTTTTATTTTAAGGATGATGATCGAACACTCAGGACTGAACTGAGAGGGGAGGGGACGGGGGGGCGGGGTTTCTGTTGCTAACCAGCTAGCCATTTTGATTAGCGCGCAATCAGACTGAGATAACAAACAAGTACGACATGGTCACATGGTCCAGCTGGGGACAACATCAAAGGTCCTATCACTGGCATTTTGCAGTGATTCGCAGTCTCCACAATAAAAGTTTTTCAACATTTTAAATGTTGTTAAAGATCATTTCCTATCAAAGTATTCAAAAATATATGTGTATGTATATATATATATATATGTATACACACACACACACAGATATATAATTACATGTTTTGCTAATTACCTGTCGGCCCCCTCACTTTGTGTCTTACTTCTGTTAATCTGTGAATTGACTGCAGTCATCTTCGTCTTCATCTTCATCAGTCACTTCCTGTGAAGGTGGAGCTGCAGCCTCTGCTCTCTGTTGTCTGAGTGGAGCCTCATCCATCAGTACTAGTCCATTTCCCCCACATTCCTGAACTTCTTCACCACCCCCCACCCCTCCATCCCCCACCTCCCGCCTTTTTACCCAGCAGCCCCTCGACAAGTCCAAACATCTCTGACTCCGTGTCTCAGAGCAGGAGCCTGAACACGTCCAGCTTCCATCAAACTTCTCAAACTAAACTCACAACGGACCTGCAGCCTGGCTCTTAATTAATATGGTTTTAATCATTAGTCACATTGTTTTATTCACTAATTGTATTCTAATTATGTTGTAAATTGTATTTTATTGTATTTTATCTGTGTTTTATTGTTAATTTTATGTTTTTGTTTGTTTGGTGATGTTATTACAACTTTTAAAATCTATATTATTGCATCTTATTCTCAGTTTTCTTCATCAGTCTGAAGCTCTTTGAACTGCACTGATCCGTATGAAAAGTGCTGTACAAATAAAGTTTGATGAATTCATTAATTGATTGATTGATTGATTGATTGACTGTCTCCTCTTCCCTCTGTCTCTCCAGGTGAAACCTGCAGAGCGTCAGTTTAAATCCAGGTTCCCTCTATATATATATATTTTCTTCTCGGTGTGATGGCGCCTGACGCAGGTTTTTTCTGACATCACTGGAGGATCGGGTCACAGAGCGGACGGTGAACTGTTTGGACTCAAACTGAAAACACGTGTTGATGTGGGCGTGTTCCCACAGGTGCAGGTGAGTAAATAAGGCGTGGAGCAGGAAGTCCAACTCCAGGTAGAGATCCAGACTCATTGGCAGCAGCCATTGTTTTCTCCTCCGTCCACATGGTGATCAGGTAAACATCAGAAGCACACCATCCACAGTACAAATTGTAGGCGTCTGATTGGCCAACACAGCTCAGGGGGCTGCTGGATGATGTCACGCTGTGTTGCAGAAAATGTTGAGTCAGGCTCATTTTTTTGCAGACGAAACTGTGATTGGAGGAGGAGCCTGAGGTAGACCCAGAACCACCTGCAAGGACGACAACTGAACACACCTGGGAACACCTGGGGAGAGGGGGGTCTGGAGTCCCCTGCTGCCACTGTTACCCAAGTCCAGATAAGAAAATGGATGCACGGTCATGAACCTGTTAGACCTGGTTATCACGACTAGAGCTGCAACGATCCAGTGATTAATCAATTGGTTAATCCACAGAAAATTAACTGGCAATTATTTCGAGGGAACAGGCCAAACACTGAAAATCTGTGACTGAACATCTTCAGCTTCTTCTTCACTGGTCAAAAACCCGCTGACATCAGGTGACTGTGTCAGTGTGACAGGGAACAAGGATTCCTCCAGAACCTAGACTCTGGGTCCATCCAGAGAGACCATCAGTCATTAATCACGTGACTCATAGTCTCACAAAGAAAACCCTGTTGTGGTTTTTCCAGTCCTGGTTCTGGTTATGCAAAAACCTCCAACAGGTCTGAGCTCGTTCAGCCTCAGTGACGGTCACAGGTAGATGACACATGAAGACGCGCCCACACACCGTCTCCATGGTAACAGCACTTCATCTGCTCAGGTGTGTATGTGAGTCACTGACAGAAACAACAGCCTCAGGTCTCTGTGCTGAAATCAACCGACTGAACACTGTGATGTTCAAGCAGAGACCAGAGACCAGCTCCAGGATCTGGACCAGATCTGTGTTTCCACCACAGTTCTGTTACAGTAACATTAGAGCTGCAAGATTGATCAAAATATAATAGAAATCTCAATATGACCAAGTGTAATATTCAAATGAAAGTAAATGTGTCACATTGTTGTTCATTGTTAGCATTAGCATTATTAGCACCATCAGTGTTGTGGAGCTCCAGAGACGGCCTGACCTTCAGATCAGATTCTCCACACGTAAAGGAACAAAAATCACATCATCATCATTTTTACATTTTCAGTGCAAATAAAAAGCAGAAATATAAAATCAACCATCTTCTCCACAACATCCTGCAGGACAGGGGAGCAGCTACAGCAGCAAACGTCTCATCTCACTGCAGGACAGAGAGGGTCAGGGGATCCTTTGTTCCCACTGCATCAGGCTGAACAACACCTCAGCCAAAGACAGTGGACTCATATATTATTATTATAAAATATTATTATTTTCATTGTTTATTTATTATCAACTGTTTTTATTATTATTATCAACAATGAGCTAATGGACACATGACTTTCCCCTAGGGCCTAGGGGATATATAAAGTATCCATCTATCTATCCATCTCTGTTGTGCAGCTCTATCAGAAACGACTCCACCTCTGACTATCTGTATCGATCAGTTATAGATCAACTCACAGACAAACTTCTCTGTTCAGTCAGATCAACTGAAGCTGATCAGTCCTCTCTCTCCCTCCCTTTGTTGTCAAGGAAGTAATAAAATAATGATCACTTAGTGTCAGTTAATCAATACCTCCTGCTCTAGATGAGCGTCACTCCACTGCTGTGATGATGGAGTGAGTCACTCACAGCTTCTGTCCATGAGGCATCACACAAACAAATCCAGGTTAAACCACTGAAGACAAATGTCTACTGTATCTACTGAGTCACTGTATCTACTGTATCTACTGAGTCACTGTATCTACTGAGTCTACTGAGTTAGAGTCTGAGTTGAATCTGTTTGAATCTGTTTTACTGACTGTTTCTTACTGTCACTCTGTTTCTGATGTGTCTGTTGCACTGCTTCCATCTGCTGTGACCATCTGTGACAATAAAGCCTGAGGTGAATGAATGAGTTACTGAAGAGTCTGGAGGAAAGACCAGGTCCTGGTTCAGATCAGCTGGTCCTCAGACCTACACAGATGTTCTTCTACACTCAGAGGTAATGGGTCTGAGGACCTGGTCTTTACACCAGCTTCACACACACCCACGCACACACACACATACACACACACACACCCACACCCACACATACACACACACACACCCAACCACACACACACCCACACACACACATACACATACACACACCCACACCCACACACACACATACACACACACACACCCAAAGCAAGGAAGGCATCAGCTGTGAGTTCATATAGATGTGCCGAGCGCTGGAATGCAGAGTGGAGGAGAAAGTGGAGGAGGGGG